ATTGTGGTAGTTAAATTTGTATGTCAACTTGGATGGGCCTAGTTGAGTGGCTGGGAACCTCTTAGATCCCTAAATTATGAACCCCATGAGAATAGGATCAGTAGCCTATATCTCCAGTATCCCCGAAGTATCTTAGATATTGCTTTATATCCAGTACAATTGTGGTAGTTAAACTTGGATGGGCCTAGTTGAGTGGCTGGGAACCTCTTAGATCTAGGCGACAGAAAGCTGTAACACCAGTGACAAGAAGAAGCAGTGGCAGAGAAGAAGTGGCAGAGAAATGGCAGCAGTAGAAACAGCAGAACCAGGAGATTGACAGGAGACAGAGTGGTGCACTTCTAGACCCAAGGAGTGAGAGTGCTGAATTCTGTCAGGAAGCTTGCTTTTGGAGTGGGGTGCCTCCAGGCACTTGATGGAGCTAAGTTTGCCAACCCAGAGAGCTCGAGCTGAGCTTTTGGGCTCAGGCTTACTGGCTAAGTGAGGTGCCTCTGGGCACTTATTGGCAGAACTAGAAGAATTTTGTAACATTTGCCTGAGCAGGGCAAATGTTCAGGATGCACAGTGCCAAGAAGCCAAGGGCTTCCTGAGAAGAGGCTGTCCTGATCACAGAACTGCGTTGTTTTCTGATCCTAAATTGTAACCTGTTACTACCCTAATAAATCCCATAATTGAGTATATTCTGTGAGTTCTGTATGGCCATTGAAATGAATTACTGAACTCAGCAGAGAAGTAGGGAGCGCCGTAGGAGGGACGGTTGGTGTCAGAATTGGTAAAAAGATTAGAGGGTGGAGCCGTATCTGACCTTCCCCTCATAGGAATCAGCCTTGGGCTGTTGATGCAAATAATGATCATCTCTTCCCCTTTTGAAGTTAGAGGAGATCAGACTCCCCCACCTCCCGCCACCAAAAAATCTGGGGCTAATGGGCATTTTCCATTTGCATAATCATTTTACCATCATCTCTTAATTAACTACAGAAAATGTATGGTTTTAATTTTACTTGCAATAAATGACAAAAACTAGTGTTGTAGGATCCAAGACTATTTTTTTTTTCCTAGTGTTTCCTCACTGTGGATTTGATAAATTTTGACCCAATTTATCAATTAGTTAAGTGATATTTTAATTTAAATTCATCATCAACTACGTCAAAGTCCTGTTTGAACAAAAACAAATTCAAAATGGATTAAGGACTAAATGTGCAAACTAAAACCATAAAATTCTTAGAAGAAAATTCAGGAGCAATGCTGTCAGTTCTAGATTTTAATAATGGGGTTATCTAATATAATAACTAAAGTGCAAATAGCAAAAGATAAAATAAAGAAATGGGACCTCATAACAATTAGAAATTTGTGTTCATCGAAAGACTTTCCTAAAAAAGTGAAAAGTCAAGCTACCGACTAGGAGAATGTCTTTGGAAACCATATATCTGGTAAAAGTCTAATAACCAAAATATGTATAAAACTTCGACAACTTAACAACAAAAAGACAAATAACCCAATCATAAAATGAGCAAAGGACTTGACTATACATTTCACCAAAGAGGACATTCTAATGGCCACCAAAACTGGAAACTCACTGCCATTGAGTTGATTTAACTCATAGCAAGCCCTCCTTGGGTTTCTAAGGCAATATCTCTATGGAGGTAGATTGCCCAATCTTCTGAGGAGTGGCTGGTGGGTTTGAACCCCCACCCTTCTGGCTAGAAGTCAAATGCCTTAGGGCCACCAGACCCATGAAAGGATGCCCAGCATCATTAGCTATCAGAGAGCTGCAAATCATAACCACATGGCGGGCAGGGAACACTGAGGAACCATTTCACTCTCACTAGGAAGGCTGAAAAAAAAAAAAAAAAAAAAGCCAGATAATAAATGTTGATGAGGATGTGGAAAAATTGTAACCCTTACCCATTTCTGGTGGAATGCAAAATGGTAGAAAACAGTATGGTGGTTCCACACAAAACTAAAAATAGCAGTCCACTCCTACGTATATACTCAAAAGGACTTGACAGCAGAGACTCAAAATGAGACATGTACACTGTGGAATGTAAGGTTATATGTCAACTTGGCTGAGCTGTGGTTTTGAATGGCTTGGCAGCTGGATGTAGTTATTTCACATGATGAGATTATAATCACTTCCATGGGGGAATCTTCTGTGAGACTTTAATTAGTGAAAGGGGAGTTGCCATTGTATTTTGGCCTACTTCTAGTATACATGGAGAAGCTTTGAGACAGATCTCTAGCTTTTTGGCACATTTTGTGCCATGTTGCCTGCTGATCTTGGTATTGTTCCTGGACTTGAACCAGTGGCTTGTCGTGTTGCCTAATGATTTTGGGATTGTGTCATTTTCCCTGGCAATCTTGGGTTTGTCACTTTGGCAGCCAGCAGCTGCATGAATTAAAAGATGCCTCCAGCTCCAATGGGCCTGGAACGAGAAGCAGAGCTGAAGCCCAAGGTTGAGGAGCCTTCACCTAGCCCCTATAGACAGCACTCTCAATTTGGACTTCCAGTTTCCTAAATGGTAAAAGAATAAATTCCTGTTTGTTGAAGCCATCTACCTGTGGTATTTCTATTACAACACCACTAGAGGACTAAGACACACCAGTCTTCATTGCAGCACTATTCATAATAGCCAAGTGGTGGAAACAAGCAACATGCCCTATCACCAGATGAATGAATAAACAAAATGTGGTGCATTTAATAAAGGTTGTATAGTTCTACACAGCCATAGAAGAAATGAAGTCTTGATGAATTCTATATAGTATGGATAGAGCTTAAAGACATTATGCTGAGTGAAATAAGCCAATCACAAAAGGACAAATGTATGGCCTCACTTTAATAAAAAGACAAGACAAATGCACAGAGGCCAGACTTATTAGTGGTTACCAGGGGCAGGAGGGAGGGGGAAAAGGAGGGCTAATGGTATGATGGTAAAGTTACATTGATTAAGGATAGGGGGGCACAGCCAATTATTGTAATTGTTGTCATTAAGTTGTACACCAGGAAAAAGTTGAACTGGCAAAAGTTGTGTGATAGATACATTTATAGCAATGAGAAAAAAAGAAATGTAGCTACAGAGGCTGCTTATATACAACCAAACACTTAATGGGATTTGATTCCTTGCTTTGGAGTTATAGTTTCATGGGACGTATCACTTAATTGATCTAATACCGCACTTAGTGCTTCTGTCCTGTCTCCTAGTTCATTGTCTAGTGTCTGGGGTCTTAAAAGCTTGCAGGTGTCCATGCAAAGTACAACACTTGGTCTGTATTCACCTGTAACAACAGAGGAAGAGGGAGAGTCAGGAATAAGAGTAGGATATGGAATGTGTGGCTAATTGCCTCCTTGAACAACTGCCTCCT